GGGGGGCTGTAAGCCCCCCTTCAAAGCACTGATCGACCCCCCATTGCTCAGCTCCCCCCCCCACACACACAGTGGCTCCCGGGGGAGCTCCCACAGCGTTTGCACCAGGGAAAGAAACTTTATTGGTTCAAGACATTTAAAAAAAAAGAAAGAACAGACGGACGGACCCCTGGCTTTGCCCACGGTTATCACAACAGCAGCTGACAACCCCCCCACACACACACCCCTCCCCACTGGGATCAGAAACCAGCAGCCCTGGGGCAGAGCTCGGGGCAGTTATGTGGGTAAGGGGCAGTTCAGCAGCACACACCCTGCTCCCCCCCCAGCTTTTGCTAACACCACTCCCCCCACCCTGGGGCCAACTGGACCATGCTGCTGGGCGGGGGGGGACAGATCTCAGCCCCCCCACCACACAGGGCAGCCAGGTTTCTGCACCCCCAAAGGGGATAAAATTGCCCATTTGCCCTTTGCCGGCTGCCCGCAGAGCCCGCAGCCCCCCACCCCGCTCCCAGGGGGAGGGCACAGGATGCCCAAGGGCATGGCTGGCACAGAAGGGGTTAAGGCCTTGGGAGGGGGTGAAAGGGGGATTTGTCATGGGGTTCTCGTGCCATGAGGTGGGAGGGGACCCTGGGCAAATCCCTCGTTCGGCCAGGGATGTTTTTATACTAGTGCAAACATAGCAGCGGGTGGGGGAGGGCCCCGAGCCGGCGCAGCCCCCCAGAGACCGCCCCCCTCAGCCTGCCGCACCCACAGGAAGCTCCGGTCCGCGGCTGCAGCTGGCTCTGACCCCGCCTAGAGACTGCGATGGTGAGGGAGGGTCCGGCTGAGCCCCCCACGGTACAGCCCCCCCCCCGTGCCCCGGCCAGTCCCGTCCGCAAAGTGCCCAGCGAGGGGGAGGGTTTAAACCCAGCCGTGGGGCCGGGCCGGTTTGGGGGCGCTGGTTCTGCCCCTCCCCAGTCCAGCGGGGCGACCCTCCTGCAGCGGTTCCCTCCGTGCCCCACACAAACCAAAGTCCTCTGCAAAAGGGGCTGTGCTGGGGGGGCTTCTGCCCCACCCCCAGCCGAGGCAGAGTGTCCTGCAGGGAGGCAGCTGGAGGGATGAGATTCTGGCTCCCCGCACAGCGGGGAACCAGCCCCTGCTCTGAATTTGGACCCCTTTGGGGGGGCCAGGCAGACCGGCAGCCCAGGAGCACAACCCACATGGGCCAGGGTGGGGGAGTCCGGAGCCCGGCACAGCCACCCGCACGGCCCGGGGCCTGTCTCCATCCCGCTGGCAAACACCCGGAGGCTCTTGAATCCACACCTGGATCGAGTTGTCTGTTCTCAGTCCAGCCCCCCACGCTCCAGAGCGTCCTTCAGCCCCCAGGCGGAGGGTGGCCCCGTGGGACACTGAGGGGCGGGCGCCGGCTACCGCACACAGACGTACTTCTTCCACCAGGCCTTGGAGAGCGTCCGCACCTTGCTGGCCGTGCTGCGTGCCCGCCGGCCCCGGGCCTCGGCGTGCCGCAGCCCCGCCAGGATGGCCGTGTCGAACACCTCCTTGAGGTTCTGCTGGGTCAGCGCCGAGCACTCCACGTAGCCCACAGCCCCCACTTTCTGGGCCAGCGCCCGGGCCGCCGGCTCGGCCACCGGCTTCTCCCGGCGCCGGGCCAGCTGGATGAGCACCTGGACGTCCTGGCGCAGGTCACACTGGGTGCCCACCAGCAGCAGGGGGGCAGCGGGGCAGAGCCGGCACAGCTCCGGCACCCACTTCTCCCCCACGTTCTGGAAGGAGGCGGGGGCCACCACGCTGAAGCAGAGGAGGAAGACGTCTGCCTTGGTGTAGCAGAGCCGCCGCAGCGTGTCAAACTCGTCCTGGGGGGAAGGGGAGGGAGAGCCCGCAGTGAGTGCCTCCAGCCACGTTCAGCTGGACCCCCAGACCCGCCCAGCCCGGGGGGCGGAGGGGGTGTTGTCCCGTTGTCCCTGATGCGGGGACTGGGGCCCAGGGAGAGAACCAACTTCCTCGGGGCCGCACCTGGAGTCAGAGGTGGATCTGGAAATAGAACCCAGGAGTCCTGGCTCCCAGCCCCCCTGCTCTAACCACTAGACCCCACTCCCGTCCCAGAGCAGGGACAGAGCCCCAGTGCACAGGGCGGAGCTCGGCAGGTTTGTTACCTTCCCCGGCACCTCCCAGGCTGACGTGTTCAGACCTGCCGGGGGTTTGAACAGCTGCTGGGAACAGGTTAAAGGGAGCTCCCAGCTGGACTCTTACCTGCCCCGCCGTGTCACAGAGATGCAGCCTCACGGGGGCGCTGTCCACCTGCACCACGGCTGCAAGGGGAAGAGACCGTTACCCCAGTAGCCAGATGCTCCCCCCTCCCCCCAGCCCCAGGGACATTGCGCTTCTCAAAAGCAGGTCAGTGGCAGAGCTGGCAGAAAACCCTCCCCCCCTCCTCTAACCACTACCTCCCCCCTGCTTCCAGTGCTGGGACAGAACCCAGGAGTCCTGGCTCCCAGCCTCCCCTGCTCTAACCACTAGACCCCACTCCCCTCCCAGAGCTGGGAGAGAACCCAGGAGTCCTGGCTCCCAGCCTCCCCTGCTCTAACCACTAGACCCCACTCCCCTCCCAGAGCTGGGAGAGAACCCAGGAGTCCTGGCTCCCAGCCTCCCCTGCTCTAACCACTAGACCCCACTCCCCTCCCAGAGCTGGGAGAGAACCCAGGAGTCCTGGCTCCCAGACCCCGGACACTGGTCTCCAGGGGGGTATAAGGGGGGTCCCATTCAGGGCAGTGGGGCAGGCAGAGCACTCCCAGACCTCCGGGGGGATGTGGGGGGAAGGACCGAGCGCTCCAGGGAGTGGAAAACCCCTTGGCAGGTCCCGGGGGCCTGGCAGGGGGAGCGCGGCTGGAGACGCTGGAGAAGGGCCCCCCGCGGGACCTACCCGAGAAGCGGTCCAGCGCCGTGGGCACGTAGCGCGCCGGGTACCCGTTGGCGCTGTAGCTGACCGCCAGGCTGGTCTTGCCCACGGCGCCGTCCCCCAGCAGGACGCACTGGAGCTCCAGCCCGGGCGGGGGCCGGTGCGGGGGCACCGGGGGCGCAGGCGGGTACCCGGGCAGCAGCTCCTGGGGGGGCATGGTCCGGCCCGGGCCCCTTGCGGGAAGGGGGCGGAGGCGGGAGCCGCGGGGGGTCTCCAGAACCGGCTGCGCCCCCGTGCGCCCTGCGCGCAGCGCTCCGAGCCGCTGCGCCCTGCCCCGCGCGGGGGTTTATACCCCGGCTCCTTTCCATAGCCCCGCCCCCAGGGGGAGGAGACTAGTGGGGGACACGCCCTGCATGCTGGAGGAGGTGGGGCAAAAGAAGGGGGGGAGGGAAATGGGCTAAGGGGGGGTCCCTGCCCAGACCTTGGGAATCCAGCTCCCCCTGCCCCGGCACTCCAGGGACCCTGGCTGAGCTGGGCACATGCCGGGCACCTGGTGGGGTCTGGGCCCCGTGTCTCAGCCTGAGCCCTGATACTCCCCTTCCCATGGCTCTGGGGCCCGAGCCCCAATACTCCCCACCCCTCCCCCCGGGTGTGGGGCCTGCCCCACCTGGCTGACTCCGCTGTATGAGCCCATTTGTCAATGCTGCCCGGCCCTGAGCCGCAGGGTGGCTGCTCCCCAGCCCGGGGACACCCTCCACCCTGTTGCGCATTAATAGAAAACGGTTCCTCTCTGCCGAGGAGCAGGGTGGGGGTCTGGCCCGAGCCCCCCTCCCCCCTGTGTTTGGGACACTGCCGCAGAGCGTGACTATGGGGGCTTCACGCCTCCTCCACGCACCAGGAGCAAAACCAGGAAGAAGCCGGGCGTGTGTGCAGAGAGCGGCACCTGTTATTGGGAACAGGATCCGGTGCCGGCGCGATTCCAGGGCCGGGTCAAAAGGGCTCCAGGCAGGGCCCTGGCTTCAGAGAGCTGCTTATCGGCTCTGCAGGTCCCACAACCAACCCGAGCAACCAGGTGCCAGAGAGCTCCGGAGACGCGGGGTAGGTCTCAGCCTCCAGGGGGCCAATTTTGGGGTGGGGGCCCTAGCTGCTATTGTCACACACACAATAAATCTACAACCCCCCCCCCCCCCGTTTTTTTGGATGCGTTCCAGATTTTGCAAGGTGAGACCTATGCGCTGGCCCACCCAAAGCCCCATCAGGCCGGGGGCAGAGGAAAGGCACCAGCTGAAGGGAAACCCCCCCCCACCTTTGCCCCCAGTTCTCCAGCCTGCTCTTAGCCCATGTGCCAAGACCCAAAGCGGGGACCTGCCGGCTTTGCTGCAGGCGGCGCAGACCTGAAAGGTCGCAGGGACATTCGCTAAGCCCCCAAGCCCCCCCAGGGAATTAGCAGGGTAGGGGTTGACAGCCTCTGGCCCCAGCACCAGGGCAGCCCAAGGGAGACCCCCACGTGCCCCCTGCCATGAGCTAGAAGGGACCCTGCCTCCAGATCTCCTTCAGGCATTGCCTCTGCTGAGCCTGCCAGGTAACCAAGCCTCTCCAGGGCCCCTGGGGGGGGGGGCACTCTTTTCTGCTTTCACTTCGAGCAGGCAGGTGATAAAGGAGCTGCACTCTGTCCCACAGCCCCACCCCAGGGAATCCGAAATCCCCCCCAGCCACGCCCAGCCCTCACTGCGGGGGAGGTGGGCCACGGCACGTGGCACGGGCAGGGCAGGGCAGCAGAGAATCTGGGGCAGGGTGTACGAAGGAGATTTCTATTTCCAGCCCGCTGCTCCGGGGGGACGGCTCTGCAGCAGCAGCCCCCGGATCCAAGGGGGAGCAGCAGGGGGTGGAGGGGGAAAGCAATAGGGGTCAGGAACATTCCCAAGTGCCCCCACCCAGCTGGACACAGAGAGAACCTCCCCTTCACCTCCAGGGCACCCCAGGGGCTGCCCCCACCCGAGCCAGAAGGGACTCACTTTTCAAACCAGTCACGTGGACAGCTGCAGCCCCCCCCAGAGATCCACTGCTCCTGCTTCCTCCCCAGGGAAAGACGGGGGCCAGCACGTTTGCTGCAGGGGGGCTTTATTTAGGATTGGCCAAGGCAGGGGGTAGGGAGGGTGAAGCTACAAGGGGCTGCCCCACGACCAGAGACCCCAGTGCAAGGGGGGGGGGGGGGGGGAAGTATTGCGTGCATTTCCTTCGCTGTAGCCTGACCCCAGGGCTCTGGAGCAGCAGCACAGCCTGGGCCAAGCACTACAGTCACGGGGTCCAGGTGGGTGTGCCGGGAGCCGGAGCGCTGGCAGCTGGGCCCGAGGCAGGACTCACTGGCAGGAGAAATCCCATTGCTGGAAGGGAAGAGAGTACAGGGATCAGACGCGGGCAAATGGGGGAGACAAGCTGAGGGGTCCTAGACTGGGGGGGGGCTGGGAGCCAGGACTCTGGGGAATGGGGACTAGTGGGTAGAGCTAGGGGGGCAGGACTCCTGGGTTCTATCCCCAGATCTGCCACCCCTGCAGTCTCTCCTCCCATCTCGAAGATGCCAGCCACCCCAGGGCCAGTCGCTCCGCGTGCTGCGGTGTCTGGGTGGTGGCAACCCCCCATGGTGTGGGGAGCCCCCCCCCCCCAGCAATACTTGGGTGCCCACCTGCTGCGGCTCGGCTACTCACATCAGTTTTGACCTCCACCTTCCCCGGCTTGAGGTACTGGTTCTCCTGGACTACGCTGCTGGGGAAGAAGCCCAGGCGGGCGGGGTGCTCCCCGTAATAATCCCCCTGCACCTGCAGGGAGGAGATTGGGGGGCTTAACCTGGGGTGCCAAGACCCCTGACATCAGCCCTCCCCCACAGAGCTGCAGCCTGGGCGGGGCAAACTCCCCCTGCCCATGGAGCCCCCCCAGGTCCTGAGACCCAGCAAACGTCACACAGGAGCCCACCAGCCTGCAGAGGGGCACCAGGCTGAGATGGGATCTGGTGCTGGGGGGCTGGGGTCAGGCCCAGCCCTCTGCGTGGCCCTGGGTCCCGCTCCACCAGGGGCATGATGCCGGGATGGGGGCTGATGCCCCAGCAGAGCCGAGGGAACCCCCCCGCCCGCCTCCAGCCACTCACGCTGCCGCCCCAGAACAGCCGCCCGCGGCCCTTCAGCTTGGAGAAGACGTAGACGACCTGCCCGCGCTGGATGGGGATGAAGCGGCAGTCGGGGGCGATGTAATCCTGCACAGCCACCGCAATGGAGATCGGATCTGGGGGGGCGACAGACCGGGGGGGTGTCATTCCCTAGGCTCGGGCACTGCACCTCCACCAGCACCCCCCTGCCCTATCCCACCACCACACCATGGCCCTCAACCCCCATGCCTGCCCTGTGCCACCAGCCCTGCCCCCCAGCACCACCCCACAGGCAGCCCCTCGTGCTCCCCCCCCCCCCACACACACACACACTTACGGCTGCAGTCGGCGTCCGCACACAGCTTCTTCTCAGCCAGCTTGCCCAGCTGCCGGCCCCCCTGCACCAGCCCCAGCAGGGCGCCCAGCAGAGCGGCCCGGGCCCAGAGCCGGGTGTTAGCCATGGTGGGCAAAATGCAGCCGCCCCGGGCTCAGACTGCCCCCGCAAGGAGGGCAGCCTGGCCCGCCCCGGCTGTGTTTCTAGTCACCGCCCTGAGCCCTTTTCAGAGATCCCGGAGCAGCCACCCCATTGGGCAGAGGGGCCGATTCCTCCGGCAGGGGGCCCCTTGGCGGTGCTGAGCCTTGCCTGGCACTAGGGGGCGCCCTTCCCTGAGTCAAGGCTGACCCCGGGGCCGTGCTGCCAATGGGGGACCCCTGCGGCTGTCAGGGGGGCCATGCTGCCAGGAGCAGGTACCAGGTTTTGGATAGAACGTCGCCCCTGCGTCCTGACCATTCCCGCTCCCCCAGCCCTCGGGGATGCTCGTCCCAGACACCAGCCAGGGCAAAGCCATTCTCTGGCCTTGGGGCTCTCGCAGGATAGGGCCTGTTGCCTCCGACCGCGTAGTGCTGCTGCTGCTGCACGGCTGCTTCGGTCCACCCCAGAGGTGGCTGCATGTCCACAACAGACCAGGAGTCTTCGTGCCAGGCCGCGCAGAGAGCGCGCGAGGAGGAGAGACAGAATCCCATCCCCCGGCAGTGGGGCACGGCCAACTCACCAGCTCCGAATTCTCTGCCCCCTTCCACTCCACTTTTTAAAATAATCCAGTGCCACAAACTCAAGCCGGGAGCGAGGGCGAGCGGGGCCGGCTGCTGACGCAGGGGCCGGCTCTCGGGTAACATACTGGGCCCATTGTCCCAAGCCTCACTACAGCTGAGGCCCAGAGAAGGGGTAGGACCCTGCAGAGAAGGGGTTGCACCATCAAAGCTCCCCCCCCCCCCCCCTCAGCCCCGTGGGGGAGGGGGAGCCCCCTGAAGCCCCCCCAGTTCAGAAGCTCCTTGTGGTAGCGGTGGGATCCCACTTTGAGGCAGATGGCACCAGGTCACGACATGGGGGGGGGGGCGCGCACCTCAGTAGTCAAACCCCAGCCACCGGTGATGCCTCTTCCACACTGGGAGCATGACCCCTCCCAGGCACCCGCTTCACCATGTTCTCTCCCAGCATGCAATGCTCCATGCAGCAGTGCGTCCTGGGTTCTCTAGGCTTGCTGTTAAGGCAGCAGGGACAAGCTGCTCGGACCAGACAAACCCCCCCCCCACAAAGCCTTCTGGGATATTGGTGGGGTAAGCCCAGAATTCACCACTTTCACAATCACTGGGCTGGGAAGAATTCCCTTCAGCTCCCACCCCTGCCTGGGAGCTTGGCTCAGCGCCATCTCTCAGGACACGGGTTTAAGGAAATCAGACTCCCGCGCAGAGAATCCGCCCGGTCGATTTCACCCCACCCCACCGGGGAGCCCAGCGAGGAACGGGCCAGCCGCGGCACAGGGGGTCACAAAGGAGCTTTTATTACAGAACAGAGAGCGCCAGGTGCAATGTCTGAGCAGCAGACTCTGGGTACAATGCTTCAGGAGGGTTGTAGCCGCCCCCACCCCCTGTACCAACCATCCCGCCGCGAACCAGCTCCAGGCTCGTCGCAGACGCAGAGATCACCAGCTGGGGGCGCTCCAGAGTCACTTACCCACTCTGAGCAGCAAGGCAGCATGGCGTGCAGGGGGGACGCTTCCCCGCCGTCAGGTCACAAGGCTCAGGGGAATGGGGGTGTTTGGGGCTGGAAATCCGGCTGGCCCTGACGGCAGACTTACCTTCCAGGGAACTGATAAACAGGGGGGGGGCCTGGTTCAGAACAGACTAATGGGGGAGGGGGGGGGGGCAGTTCTGGGCCGGGGGGGAGGCGCTTCACTTCTTGGCAAAGGAAATCTTCATGGCGTTGCTCTGTGTGATCTTGAAGCCCTGGAGGGCGTCGCGGGCGGCTCCGGCCTGCACCTCGTTATCGAACTCCACGAAAGCGATGTCGTGCCGCCCGGGCACCAGGCGCACCTCCTTGAACCCCGGGAACCTGAGGGGGGGGGGCAGGACCCGGCTGTTAGAGGGGACAGGCGACCAGATCACTAGCACCCACCCCCCCTCCGCTGGCCTCGCAAGCACCATGCTCCCCCCCACTCCCTTGGACCGCCCAATTCCACCCCCTGCACTGGGACCGTCCGCCCCCCACTTGGCCCTCCCGGCTCCCTCAGGCCCCGCACTCACTGATTGAAGAGCATGGACAGCATCAGCTCGTTGGTCTCCTCGGGCAGGTTGGTGAGGAAGAGGATGTGATTGGGTGGGTTCTCCGAGAGCTGCGAGGGGGAGAGAGAGGGGTCAGGCTGGGAGCCCAGACACGGCGAGCGCCGCCTGGAGGGGAGGGCCGGGCCGAGACCCCTGCAGGGCAGCTCCAGCCAGACGCACGCAGCAGAGGCAGTGCCCAGGCCAGGCCGCCCTCCCCCCTGCTCTCCACACAGAGGAGTCCCCTAAAACTCAGCATCTCAGCTGAGGCAAGTAACGAGCCAGCGGGGAGGACTTACCCCCACACAAGCTCACGAGAGCTCTTCCGCTCCCCACTGGAGCCAGTACCGTGGAGGGGAAGGCCCGGTTACCCCAAGCCCCACCCCCAGGGGGAGGTTTGCCCCACACAGCTGAGTCCGATCTGGAGTCAGGCCAAGCTCTGTCATACTCACCTGCTGGGTAGGCGGCATCTGGCCAGGCATCATCTGCTGAGGGGGCATGGCCCCCGGCGCGAGTCCTCCCGGAGTCATGCCAGGTGGGGGGATCATACCCGGAGGGGGCATGTACGGAGGCTGGCCGGGCATGTGGTGCATCATGCGGGGGGCCTGGTTCATCGGCGGCATTCCCTATAGGGGAGAGAGAGCCCAGCTTCACATCAAGTTCCTGGGCGCAGACCTGCCCCGGAGCCTCCAGTGCCTGCCTGGGCACAGCCCTGGCATCCGCATCAGAGTCCGCACTGGCCGCAGAGCCTGGTATTCCCAGACGCTAACCACAGCCGGCTGGGGCCAGACTCAGCCCGACTCCGGAGACAGACCATGCTGGCTGCGCTGGGAAAGGCTCCCCCAGGCCCCGAGCGCCGGCTGCCAACCAGCCACTGCCCTGGGTGAGACGCTGCTCACGTTACTCACGGGGACAGCTCCTTGCACGGCGGCTGCCACCGGCGCTGCTGCCCCAGGTATCTGTTTCTTGACCACGGGCGTCTCCGGGCCTTTGGGCTTCCTCTTCTCCCGCTTGCGGTCCCGCTCCACGTAGGTGCCTTTCATTTTCGAGATGATGTCGGAGTCCGACTTGGCGTACTGGATCCTCTGGGGGCGGAGAGAGCTCGTCAGGGGGAGCACGGCCAAGCAGCCGCTCGGGCCGTTCCCAACGGCACCCGCCAGACGGCCGCCCCCAGCACTCACCATCGGCTTGTCGTAGAAGGGGAACCCCTGCATGGACCTCAAGGCGTTCGTGGCGCTGCTGATCTCCTTGAAGATGACAAAGGCTTGTCCCCTCATCTTCAGGCTCCGGGACACCAGGATATCCAGGATCTGGCCGAACTGGGAGAAGATGGCGTAGAGGGATTTCTTCAGCTCTAGGGGAGAGAAATGGAGCGTTAGGTACACGATCAGACAGACACGGAGCTGGACGCCGACTGGGCAACTCCTGCGGCCTCAGACAGAGACTCTTACCCCGCGCGTCAGAGAGCGGGAGTCACTTTTATCCCTCCTCAGCACCCAGTCCTCCTCGGCCAGACAGCAACAGGCGAGCAGGAGCGGGGCTGGGAGAGCGAGTCCTCCAGACGCTCCCCGGCCTCCCCCCAAAGCGCTGGGCTCCGGTGCAAGCCCCTTAGCCCAGCCACCCACATCGCCAGCTCCAGGCGAGAACCCCCCTGGGAGCTCGCTCACCATCCTTCTTGATCTTCTCATTGAGGTTGTTAATGTAGATGGTGTGATTGGGGCGGGTTTCCGGGACGGCCATCGTCCTCGGCACTTCGCAACAGCGGGGTCTGCGGAGAAGAGAGACGGTAAATCGAGGCGAGCGCGCAACGGGGAAAACGGCTGCAGGCTCCCCATACCACAGCAGCCACGTGACCCGGGGGTCTCGCTCAGGGGGTCAGGGCCTCAGACGATCCCCAGCGGGCGCTGCCGGGGCGAGGGCGAGACCAGTGCGAGGAGCTCAGGACTGGGGTTAATCCCACCTCCGGACAGGCCCACGAGGCGTCTCAGGAGGCAGCAAAGCCAGACGCCATGTTCAGGGGAGACAGCTTGTGGGGAGGGTCTGGGGCCAAGACCTTGGGGGGGGCAGCCTGGGCTCTAGGGCCCCTCCCCCAGCACCAGGGGACCCCCCCCCCCCGGCCGGTCCCTGGCTGCTACCAGCACCCCCAGCTCCTGCCACGGCCTCCCCCCAGGCGCGGAGAACAGGCCCCCTCCCCACCCCCCAGGGGAGCCCTCAAGGGGCGCCAGGCCCCGCCCCCAGGGGCACTGCCCCGCCCACAATGGGGGGAGGGGGATACAAGCTGCAGCCCCCCGTAGGACCCGGATGTGGAGCTCCGGGGGGGCGGGGCCCGGATAAGCCCCGCCCCCATGAAGGCTCCAGGGGCTGCGGCCCCGCCGGCCCCCCCCCCCAGCCCGGCCATACTGGGTCACACAGGCCGGGCGCCGCCCCCCGGCCCGATCCCCCCCGGCCCCGCGGCCCGATGGCGCCGCCCCGCCGCGGCCCCTCACCGATGGAGTCCGCAGGCCCAGGCCTCGCAGCGCCGCCCGCCGCCACAGGAGCCCGCCGAGAGAGACAACCACGCCCACTGTCCGCGCGGGCCAATCACGACGAAGCAGCCTCGGCCTTACGAGCCTATAAAAGGGCGCCTCGCCGGCCCCGGCCAATGAAAGGCCTACGGCCTCGTGTGCGGCAGGCCAATCAAAGCAGTGCCACGGCCTGTCAAATGACCAATCAGGAGGCGGTTCTCCATCGTTACCCCGCCCCCCTAAGGCAAGCCGCATTCGGATTTGGTGTTCGGCTCGGCAGTTCCCGCCTTCCGCACAAGAGCCGGCCATTGGCTGATTGGAGATGTCAGTAACCGCTGTTATCACATGTGATTGGCGGTATTTGTCACGCGACCCGGAAGGGGCGGCTGAGAGGAGGGAAGCGGGTGGCTGGTATCCAATCACGTGATCGGACTCACCCCGCCGCTGCCTGCTCAGCCGGCGGCCGCCATTTTAGGAGGGGCACGAGCGGGACGCGAGGCGGGCTGGGCCCCGAGACCTCCGACCCTGCCAGGCCACGCCCCTACCCCACGCACTATGACCCCGCGGTGACCCCTGACCCCCCCCCGCGAGCTGACCTGTGACCCCTGACCTCTAACCCATGCCCCCGTGACCTTGGTTCTAGTTTGTGCCCTTTCACCTCCTGCTGCCCCCCAACCCGGGAGCCAGGGTGGGGATGGCTCACAGGGGGGGGATGCCCCCTCCCCCTCCTGCCCCCCAGCAGGGCCCTGCCCCTCCCCCTCCTGCCCCCCAGCAGGGCCCTGCCCCTCCCCCACCCCCGCCTGCCCCTCCCCCGCCCCCTCCCAGGCCGCTGCCCACCTACGGGCTGGACAAGGCCAAGTTCTTCAAGGCGGCCCTGGAGCGAGCGGCCCCAGCGCCCGGCAGCGGGGACGACGTCCGGGAGCTGCTGAGCCGC